CGTTATGTTTTGAATTTCTAGGTTTATATAGGTCTTTCATTAACAGAGTTTACTTTTCTTTAGAATTAATTATTGTCAGCCACTGATATACTTAACAACGAATAACAACTATTTTGAATCTGTTCTTCGATTCAATAATAACCATTTTGGGCTCTTGGGTAATTATTATTCATATATCAATAGTCATCAATTTATAATACATTTTACCAAAAGCTATCGGTACGTATTGAACGCTGGATTTTTAACGTGTGAAATAAAGTAAACAATCGGTGAACCGTTACCGATTCATGGTAGATGTCCCACCTATACGCACGAAACGCTTTGCATCAAGCTTCTTTATTCGTACTGCTAAGGAATTGCGGAATTCTTTGCCCGAGTCTGTGTTTCCTGAGTGATGTCTTCAAGGCCCGTATGAATAGGTTGCTTATGGGATGACGTGCTTCATCGTAGACTGTATCATCGCTTACCATCAGGTGAGATAGTGGTCAAACGTCGGCCTATCAAATATATAAAAAACATTTTTGTTTTCTCTCCTTTAGTATATCATTTCTAGATTATTTACAAACCTACTTAAATACTTCTTTCCCTATGGTCAAAACTTATAAAAAGCACGGCGATCCTATATAAATTGATTTTGTGGGGGATAGTGTGATGATGAGAAATGGGGAGAGACATTGACAAGATAAATGGACCAGATTTCAGATGAGATGATTAATTATACCACGGAAGTGGGTTGCTTTGAAGGATTGTATAGGATAGGCGTGAATCACGGAACTTTCTCCAATGACTTCCAGTAGGTACCTATACCCTTACGTAAGAGATAAACCTTTTAATATTCATTTACTTATTTATATATTGACTGCGTCGTTGACTGACTAACCACTCGATTGGAATTGTGCCCGGTATATGGCAATAGGCTCACCCCCTATTACATGAGACTTATAACATTAATGGTGAAAAGTGGGTGTTACATTGTACAGTGGCATTAAGTGCCATTGCCAATACTTTGCCCGACCCGGGAATCGAACCCGAGTCCCCTTGCCCGGCAGTCGCACTTGCGACCACTTGGCCAACGAGGCAGTTAAATATCATTTTATTCAAAAAATATTTAAATTTTTCAGGTACAAAGTTACCTGCGTTTTTCATTATTTTAAAGTCTTCTTCAGTTAGGCCTACACAATATAGTTAACGTGTGGTAGAAAGGGACAGGTTGATGCATTTAAGGGATGACGAAAAGAGATGCACATAGAGAACGCAATCCGTCTCCATTGCACGAGCGAATGCACCGGCTGGGTACGGTTGACAGATAAAGTTGTGCAATGCGAATTGTAAGCAGTGTGAAAGATATATTTGGTGAAATAAATTTTAGTGTACAGTAAATTAAATAGGAATTTTAAATTATCAGTGCAAATGGACTTTAAAAGAGACGGACCTCTGAGTTTGTTTCGGCATTTCTTCTCAGAGTAGTGAGTTAGGAAATGGCAACAACATCATTCGCTTAAAAAATTTAACCTTGAACATGGCAGCACTTCTACACATCAATTTTTTGTCAAATAAGCTTATTTGCAGAAATAAATTTACTTGTTTCACTTGGAAATATAAAAAGCATACCGCAAGCCTTGAAGATTGTTACAATTTAGTTTTGCTTACATATGGTACGACATAAGTAAATAGTAATGTAATGATGCGATGAAAATTAAAGAACTAAAAGTATATATATATATGAGTGTACATGATTTTATGTTATACATTTACAAAATAAGTTTGAACTAAAAAGATGCGAACAACAAATTAAATTGGGCACCTATACCAAATTTGCATTGAAATTGTCAACTGTTCTATGAATTCCGAAGTTTATGAAAGAATGTTGACGCACAACGAAATATTTGGTTTGAATACTAATTCAGTATGCACCTTGCGCTGCTGACCGTAGCAGCCCACACGTGTGGCGCAAACGAGCCGGCCTTATAATGAATAGCCGTCGCCTGCCACCATATTTCAGCGAATTAACAAATGACCCGCTGTCATTGTACGCGCGGCGCACAATTTTTCTGCGCACCGTACCTAACGGCTTGATGTAGGTGCGGTTGGCGGTACTGTTACGTTCACGTTGCTGATGTTGGTACCGCCGAATTAATGGTGGGTTTATGGTGTATACGAGGTCTGGTGAGGTTTGTTATGATTGATACCGGTTAAGATAAGAGGAGAAGCTTAGGCTATTCAGTAATGCTCATTGAAAACCTGCACTTCTATAGAAATATAAATGACAGTTGTTACATTATATATTAGACTAATGTTCTACTGTCCAGCAGAATGGTGATCAAACCTTGATTTGCGAACAATAAAAGTTGCTTCAATCAAATTTTAAATTGATGTACCCACTTTAACCATGTTTAAAGTTCTTTGATATCAAATTAATTGCCATGTTTTCGGTTCTATGTGCAGCATTCCGCGGCATGCGACGCGGCGACTGTCGCGCTGCTACTGAATATGAGCCTCTAGCATGGCTTGAAACTAATCGAGTTCTTCATCAAACAGTTGCGTGAATGAGCCGAAATCAGAGTAATTAATTTAATATGTCGTCGATATTAAATCAAAATGGTGTTCTTATGTGAGCAAGAAACATTTGGTTATACCCAGTTGGGTTTATAAGCATGTGATTAAAGCGAGGTCCCGCAGCTTAAAGAAATCTAAACGTTTTGCTACTAATGAGAATCTCCACACGAGGCTGGGTTTTGCAATAACTTTCTAAATACGTTAGACGGATTTTCATTTCATATACGATACTTATGTCCAAACATTTGAACGTCACTAAATTATAAGTAGCGCTTAAATATAGTTCTATCACAGATGACATGACACACATGACAAAGATAGCACGATATTTAATTACAATTTCAAATTAAGTAGTCTTTCAGTATTTGGGCGGTAATCAAAGAAAAGTTTAGGGAATATAGACTGTAGTTCCCTAAGAAGAAGAAAAGGAGGATCCACCGACCAGGCAAGGTGATCGTGCTTGCCGGGTTTTCTGCTCAACAGTGGTTCGTTGGGATTTTCTATCCTTGTTAATTCGCATGTAAACTTCGCATGTGCAATGTGGGATTTTTGTGACGTCATTCGTTGATTTATTTTTATCGATATTTGACGTATGACATGTGTCGGCACAAAAGTATAACTCATCTAGTGCAAAAGCATTGCTGGTTCAATCTACTCCACTAAACTGTTGTCCTAATTCTTCTTTGCAAAAAAATCTACTGCACTTTTTCCACCGCATCTTCAGCGAAGTAAGCCCAACAAATCTTCCCAGCTAATATTTAACAGTTGACACCTGAAGTTTATTCCGTTTTTCGATCCAGACAAAGCCGATTTCCCGCTGGTCGGAATCCAGTTGAGTCGCAGTACCTCGAGCTTTGACTGTCGGATTAGGTCCGAAGAGCTTTGCCCGAAACCTATTACTGATTTATAGACAATAGTTTTATGATCAGCTTCTTATTCATTTCGATTTTTGATTAGGTTTTGAAGTTTTTTTGGGAGTTTTTTCTTTGTGTTTGGAGATATTTTGACTTATCTTTTTAGTTGAAGGCGTTAGAATAGAAGTAGTTTTATCAATGTCAAATTTTTTCATCCTTTTATTGAGTAATAAATCAATCGAACTAATCTATAAGTTTTGTTAAACCAGTTGTTGTCCAGATATTCTTTTTGTTTTCTCGTACGATCCTTACATATTTCTTTAGTTTTCATTAACTCTAAACTTTGTGTTTGTAAAATTTCAGAAAATTCTTAATAAATCAACTAGTGTTTGTGAACAATTCGAGAGTCTCCTATCTTTAAAATGACAAAACTATTTAAATTCAACTCTAATGTGCGTGTAATTTGAATCTACGGCACAGTGATCTCAATTATTTAAACTAAAAATTCTCAAATTTCAACTTAATACAGCAATCATTGTTAACTAGCATGCCACGTGGCGCACACGCGTTGTCCTGCAAATCGACCCCTAATTACGAAACAGTAGACCAATTGTGAAGGGTTGTAATCAAAATTACTTATTGACAAAATAGTCGGTGTCAAATTAGGACTTAAGTCCAAACAAATTGGAATAGAACGAAGTTATTATGTCATTTTGTTGTTCATTGTACTGCGTGCAATATGTTTTTTTTCAAGAGGGGAAAATCATCGAATTACTGCTACCGCCTAAGGTGAGGCGGGAGAGAGTGTGAGACTCTTACTGACGAAAACCCACCCCGTTCCTTCTCCTGCACGTCGAGCCGGAGCCCCGGTTACCCGTTAGGTTCTCCGCGACTCCGAATCCGCATCGACCCTGTTGGGCCCCATCTGTGGTGATCTGATGGCTCTTTGAGGCGCGCGCGGAACGCGACGCGCCGTACGCTCGGCGTGCAATAGGGTAGGTAACTAATTTTTTTTTTCTGCCTGGTATATATTTTAAAAACGTTAGACACGTATTTTTTATTATCTTACGGAAAATAATAGTTTCGGACATATATTGAAGAATAATAAAATACGTGTCTAATATTTTTTCATTACCTCCCTGACGGACTAATTACATTTTTAATTTTCATACCCTGTCATCGTCCCCATTCTTGACTGCATGCGCCACCGTGAAAAGTTCTAGTTTAGGCTTAATGTGTTATAGGTTGGTTTTGTTAAATTATTACAAGCAAAATACCTATGTTAAAAATAAACTTGTAACCAAATTAAGATCCGATGGTACAAATCTAAATCGAAACTAAAGTCTATATGTAGCTGCAAAACTTGAAGTACGAACTTTGTTTATGTATTTTTTCACTAGTTTATATACACAGACAATACATAGGAAAAAATATAGCAAAACAAAGGTACATAGGTACTGCATATTCCTTATGGGATTTCTTCCTGCAGCCCTGCGCGAGGAGAATGAAATACAACAGATGACACAGTGTGTAACAACAAAATATTATATTTACAAGCTTAGAGATAACTTAAAACAAATTAACAAATTATTAGAAATGAAATTCATTAACATTAGTAGGGGTTTCTTCAGGGCCGTAATAAACACCAGTGAACATTTGATATCGGGCAGTCTCGAAGTCCAGGGAAATGTCAAAGTAGAATGGTCTGTCTGCAGTAAATTGGGGCAAAGCTACAAAATTTGGCATCGGCCCCTGTGACGGTTCCTCTGGTCCCGCAAAATCTAAACCTGTAATTATGAAGTCACTGCATAAAGTAAAACAATGATGATTAGATCTACAAAACTACGCAACGGATTTTAAAGCTTTGTTTTAATAGACCGAGTGATGACGATGTTGTCATATATAGAAAACAGTGTCAAACTTTCCTAAAAAATGTATGTCCACGTCTTGGTTAAATCTTTCATTATTTTGTTAAGATAATGTACTCCGTAGTATGGTTAAAAAGTTCAATATGTATAAGTAAATGTAAATTTAACTTACGCGCAAATCTGGCGACACCGACTTCATCAATTTGAATAAAAACTTTTTGTTTAATTTTATTCAATGCTATGGACTTTGAAGAATTTTTAAAAATTCCGTCCAGACCAGAGGAAGTCGAATTGAAAATAGAATTGAGTCCCAACTGAAATTGTAAAAAAGGATAGCATTGTAAATATAGATCTAATAATAATAAAGTCCTCAAATCCCCAAACTTATTTGAGGTTTATATTAGGCATATATAGTCATTGGGGGAGGCCTATGTTCAGCAGTGGACGTCCTGTGGCTGATATGATGATGATGATGATGAAACATCGAATAAGACCATAACCTCCAGAAGGTACTTGTAACTCCTCTAGCGTTGCGTGTTCATGGGCAACGCCAATTGCAAACGAGCAGACGGGTCCGGCTGCTCATTTGCCAGCCTAACCCGTAGAAAGGTAATCTTGCTATCAGATTAGCCTCAACACTGTTTTGACAGCAGCCAAAGTCTTTATTAGAACTAACAAATTATTTAAAAAGATACCTCTTTTACAAACCCGGTCCAGTCAACAAACGTCTTGATCTTAAACCTTGGGAAAGTCACTTTGACAAACCGACCCTTCATACTCTTCACAAGGTTGTGTACGTAAGCTTTCTCGTTATAAATTTTATCCAGTAGCTGTGGTAACTGTTGTTGACTGTTTGGTAAAATAATTGTGAATGATGCCCTCCAACTTCCAAAATGCATTGAGACGGCCTAAAACATAAAAAGTGTTGTGTAAATAACATTACATAACATCAAGCCATTAATCCCCGAAGGGGTAAGCAGAGGTGCACATTATGCCACTGTACAATGTAACACCCACTTTTCACTATTTATGTTATGAGTCCCATGTTATAGGGTGTGAGCCTATTGCCATATACCGGGCACAATTCCAGACTCCGTGCTACTACTGAGAATTTTTAGAAAACCCAGTAATACTTTGCGCTACCCGGGAATCGAACCCGAGACTTCTTGCCCGGCAATCACACTTGCGAACACTAGGCCAACGAGGCAGTCTATTCTATATATCTGTTGTGTAAATATGCATTAGATTTTTCTGTGTACATAAACATTTTTTTTTTTTTTTTTACACAGAGTTTGCGATACTATTAGAGGTGCTCTAGAAAGAAAGCAATACTGCTCATCTGTCTTTCTAGATGTGCAACAGGCTTTCGATAGAGTATGGCACAAAGGCCTATTATGCAAAGTAAAAAAATGCCTGCCACACCCATTCTACGGAATTCTAGACTCATACCTGATAGAGAGAACCTTCCAAGTTATTGAAGGCGACTCTGTGTCGAATCTTAACGACATATCAGCAGGAGTTCACAGGGCTCAGTGCTCGGACCTGTCCTATATAACATTTATACTTCAGACCTGCCCCAAATGCAAAATGTAACAACCGCAACCTATGCAGATGACACGGCAATATTGGCGGTCAGTAACAACCCCGTTGTAGCCACACAAAAACTTCAAGAAAGCCTCGACGCAGTAGATGAATGGTTAAAAAAGTGGAGAATTAAATCAAGCTCAACTAAATCAGTCCAAGTCACTTTTACTCTTAGAAGGGAAGAATGCCCCCCAGTAAAACTGGATGGCGAATTCCTACCACAAAGCGACTCGGTTAAATACCTAGGCCTACATTTGGATAGAAGGTTAACCTGGAAAAAACACCTGCAAGCGAAGAGACAGCAACTAAAACTAACATACAGCAACCTCTATTGGCTCCTGGGACGCAACTCAAAACTTTCAGTGGACAACAAACTTCTCATATACAAAACCATCCTAAAGCCTATCTGGACCTATGGTATCCAACTGTGGGGTGTGGCCTGCAGATCGAACATCAACATTATACAGAGATTACAAAACACCATACTAAAACACTTAACCAATGCACCATGGTTCATACGCAATGATGAAGTCCATGAAATCCACCAAATTAACACAGTCATGGAAGAAGTTAAGCTACATGCCAGTAGATATGCATCACGGCTGAAAAAACATCCCAATGAACTGGCAACCCAACTCACTATGCCTGCGTACACAAAGCGGCTGAAAAGACGAGACTTCATGGAACTTGGCCACCCAAAATCCTAGGCTGGCCTCGAAATAAGAGACTGATCTCTTAATGGAGAGATTCGTCTACAAGTCAAATGACGTCCAAAAATTTGCTCATGGTCAAGAGACCGATTGCAAATAAACATAC